AGTCGCACGATGACCGGATGTTCTAGATCTAGCTGAAGCTGTATTTGCGCAAGCAGCAATTTTCGCACGATTTGGGCAATCCTATCGCAAGGATCCCAATATGTATCCGTTTCACCCACACATTTCGGTGGCCCAGGATGGCACACCGATGATTCAGCAGCAGCCGCCACCGCTGCAACAGCAACCACCAGCGATGCAACAACAGCCGCATCAGTTTCACATGCCCGCTCAGCACATGCTGTACCAACCCGGTCAGCCACAACAACTGAGCCACACGTTCTAGACGCCGCCGATGCAGCAACAGATGACCTCGGCAACGACGCACCCGGCGACTATCACAATGCCGCCAACCACACCACCGCCTCAGACTGCATGGAACCCCACCTCGGTGCCCCACATGACCCAACAATCTTACAGCATGCCCGGCACCTCCAGGGGTAATACGCCTGCCCAACAATTTGCAGCACAGCTGCCGCCTCCACCGCAACCACAACAGCCGATACCCATGCAACTCCAGCAGACACGCAATCTACTCACCACTGCAACACAGCAAGCCCCTATGCATCAACCACCCACAACGACCATCGCACAACAACACCCACTTTTCCAACAGCCCGTTCAACAGCCCCTTCAACAGCACATTTCACAGCCTTTCCAACAGTCCTTTCAACAGCCACTTCCATCTACACCTTCCCCACCACAACCACCGCTCACCCTTATCACACACACACACACAACCCTCACCTTCGTATACCCAGATCAATCCTGCCACTAGCCTCACAGCAGCTCCTTACATGCCTACAGCGTTTATCCATCAACAGGCCACATCTGTTCACCCACCACCACCGCCAACAACCACCACCACCGTGCAGCGACAGCCAGACCCATCGCAGCTTCAACCCCCGCCAGGGCAATTCCAATCAGATTCAGCCCCGGCACCAACCTCAACAGCGCCGCACCACCAACAGGACACATCCGAGCGGAAACGATCACGGTCTCACAGAACTCGCCGCACACGGCAGTCCCGAAGCAGACGACGCACGACCCACAGGCAGCCACAGGCATCGGCGTCACCGCCGCCGCAGATCCTCTACCACACGCCGCCACTCCACTACATCGAGATCCAGATCTCGATCATCCACACCATCCCCCACACCGCGATCCCGCACGCCTCGACGCAGCCCCACACCACGATCTACAGTGGACCTACGCCCGGCTCCCGCCCAGGCACTCCGACAGCAGTTCCAACGAATCGCTCTTACTATGAACCCGGCCACCCGCAGAAAAGGCAGCCCATCACAGCAAACAACACACAGCCAACAGCAGCCCCCACCACGCATCGACAAACCACTCAACGTATTCACCGCACTACCTTATTGCAAGGACGTTAAGCCGGCTGCAGAAATCCCGATGACTGAAAAGGCCTCGTATGGTCGCCTACGAGGTCAGGCAGGCGGAAGACTTCGTCGATGCCTTAAAAGAGGCAGCCGGCGATGGAACTATGGCCGGCTTCACCAACGAGCAGCTGATGAACCTAAGCCAGATGCTACATGCGGCGGACTGCTCTCTGACACCGACGGGCATCCGCGCGACCCAGTATCTGGAAGTCGACGGGTTATATCCCGCAATGCTGATCCCACTGGACGACGCGCGATACCTGACATCAAACTCCTTGCCTTTCCCAGAAGCCACGCCGTTCGGCGTAGAGCCGCGGGAGTGGGCGGAAAACCCGCCGGCGATCTACAGCTATACCTTTGTGCATAGCACTGACTATCAGGGCGCTGCCGAGATCATTCGTGAAGGGCAGCTGCGCCCCAGCCCAGTGCCCGCATCCTCGCAGGAGAAGGCATGCGTGATCTACGGAGCCAGCACTCCGGGACCACCCTCGGACTACACATTACAGGTTTGCGTATCTGACGCCGATCATCCACAAGCATCCAGCAATCTAACCAGTCCCAGATACTGGAGTACGACGATGAAGTGCAGCTCGACATGATCAATCTAGCTAGCAATTCTCCCACCACAACAACCACCCGCCCTACTACCCGATCCTCATCATCGACAGCATGCGCAAAAATGTTAGTGAGAGCCGGGTACCGATGTTCATGCCGCTTTCTTAAAGATTGTCCTTCGGTTGTGTTCGGCAGGAAGGTTTCACTTTACTTCAAGTCGGATTCAGACTGAGCCTTGCAACCAAAAGAAACCTTTTATTTCGCAGGCTGCACGCCGCAGCAGAGTAAAGCCAAGACTCCGATCGAAGTCTCGTCCTGTCTGCATGCAGGCTCAAGGACGTGTCGCCGACAACCACAGCATACGGTAGCAACCATGCAGCCGCCACCCCCACCGATGGGACACAGAGGCACATACAGGCCACCCACTGGCCCCGTGTCAAGAGCAGTACAATTACATCACACTATCACCCACACATATCCACACATCACCAAGACAGCCCACTTTTCAGCAACCTCCACCAATATTTTACTCACCCACATTCCCGCCGCAGCCCCCACTGCGCCACACCACACCACCCGCTACAAGCAACCATTCTTCGCCGAAAGGGTTTGCCACACCACCGATCCCCAACTATTTTGTCACATCCCCCGACTTCCACGACTGCTGAGTCATTTTTTGGACACGACCTACCCAAAACAGTTCGACGAACACCGTGGTCGGAACGACTCGGGATTGCAGACTGCCCCATCGGGACGCTACCCATCCTCGCCATCACAAGACACCCTGGTCCTCTTACTGGCTACGCAACATTTGCCACGGCTTGGAGACCTACCCGGTCTACACCCGCTGCGTGGCCCACGCAGTGTTTATCAGTGAACTGCTGTCACGCATCAGCCACAACAAGTTGGATTTGGACCGAGCAGCCATGCCACACTGCCAATGCGCCATCCCACCCATCCCCAACCCAACACGCAAGCAAGCAATGGCAGCATTGGCCTGAATACCTCAGCGGTCTGATACACGACCCACCCAACCAAAAAGATGACACGGCAGACCCTCAGGCCAATCACCGCATTCTGCAACTCGAGCAAGAACTCGCTGAATCGCTGAAGCCAAAGCTCAATGACAGCAACACAACATAATACCACCCACCACACCGCAGAAGAAACGCACAGCACCACCAGCTTCACCGGCACCAGCAACGGACCCCAGCGCAGCCACCCCCTCCCAGTTCTTTCATCGCAGCCCCAGCGACCATCTCCGTCCCCAACACCTGCACCAACACCGTCAGCAACACCCTCTTCAGCACCACCTACCAACTCTGCCGTTTCCATCACAGACAGCCTTGTCTCAGCCATAAAAAGGCGCAAAATCCAGACCCAACTGCCAGGCGCACCAGCTAAGCTAGCAAAACCAGATATCTTTGCGCCTCCGTCAGCACCGTCCCAATGGTTCTCCCAGACCTACACGGGCGCCCATTCCGATGCTGGGATCAAAAGGTGGATTGGAACGTTGAAGATGTCGGATAACAAGAAGCATGAACTTCATGGCCACATCGATGATTTGATGCGTCAGTATCCTCAACTGACATCCGAACAAGAGGAACAACTACGAAAAAATGCGGAAACATGGGGACTACCACCCCAGCACATCCGCAAACTGCAGACATCACATTTGATCCGCATCTTGAGCGTCATTGATCACTTCACCCAGTGACTAACAGAACAAGCTACGCAGCACACACACACACACACACAATTTTCACAACACACCACACATCTCACCAACGCCGTCACCACTCTGTCCCACTTACTACCCGAGGCGGAGTCCTCCTCAAGCAAAGCACACGAAATATGCCGATGGCTACTCGACCGATGCATTCTTTTACACGCACACAAGTTTCACAGCACAACACATCGAGGCCATCTACGAACCATACGACAACTGCTGAGACAAGCATGCCCTCAGGCTCTGGGACGAGGAGACGCACATCACCAGCTCTTGTCCCTTAGACAAGCCTTCCACACCCTCCACGCCGCACAAGCAGATGAAACTTTTGACATCGACATCTACAACCAAGATCTTTCCGGATTCTTCACAAGCATTTCTACGGAAAGATTTCTTGCCAGCCTCAACCTAATGACACAGTGGTACAGAGGCAAAAACGCAACACACGCCACAGTATTCACAGCAACACACCAAGAGCCAGACCCTACCATGCGAGTTCACAGAGGACGCGCCCGATTCGCAAAATCCCGCAGACACACCATCCACCAGACACACACCCCCGCCATCTGCAGAGCAGTGCTACTGTTGAATTACTGTTTGGTTGGCAACACACTTCTCCAACAAATCCGGGGAGCACCCATGGGTTCACCAGCCAGCCCCGCACTATGCGACATGGTCGTCGCAGTCAGCGAGCAATCCTGGACCCACACGTACCGCAACCTCACCTATAATTTAAAACACACCACGCCACCCACGTTCACCAGCAGCGGTTTCTTCGCCACGAGATACGTCGACAACCGACTATGTCTCATCCCCACATGTACACGCCGCAACACACACTTTCAACAATTCCTTTCCCCCCAATTTTACGGCCACCCCATACATCTCGAGACCGAGCCAGGTCTCGATTTTCTCGGCTTCACAATCCAACCACACGACTACAGCATTCGCTACATACCAACACGCCACATAACAGACATTCTCTCCCCACACTCAGCATCACCATCCACAGTGTTGCGTGGCAGTTTTGCAGCCCGCGCCATTTTGGCGCGCCGGCTAGCAACTCCACAGCAGGCAGTCACCCAAGCCATGGAGCAGCTCTCCCAGGTGTATGAGAGGGCAGGATACGAACCGCAGTGGATTCGCCGCTGCTTGGAAAACATCCGCAAAATCGTTACATAGACTGCTAGGGTGCCTAGACATGTCCGAAGTTTGCGAACAGTCAACATCACAATTTCCCGTACCCGCAGCTATTTATAGTGTCTTGCGACTCACCAGGGGGTTCAATGAGTGGTCGATTACAGCCCATACACAAAGCCATGATCGAGCGACCCAAGCATGAGCAGTTTCGCAAGGACCGCCGCTCCAAGCACAAGAGGGTCCACGACGGACATCAGAACCCTCACAGCCATCCCACCCAAGCAAACCTTCCGGCTTTGAGAAAGCAGATTCTCCGCATCGCCTCGGAGACCTTCGATGAGATGGACGACGACTCGGAGCCACCGCAGTCGCCACCACCGGCTCCGTGCACTCCACCGTATCCACCACCGCCACCGGAAGAGGATGAACCAAAAATCACCAACCTGGAACAGCCGGATCAGAACATCACCTCGCAGGACATCGTGGATATGACCAACAACCTTCATCATGCGTTGAAGGAGTCTCACAACAAACTCGAGTCACTCTTCCAGAAGACCACTACGGTCTTGGTGACGCAGCACAGCACGAGACGATGACAGCGCTCATCTCAAGCTGCAAACAACAGCTCGACATCGTCGAAAACCTGGTGAGACAGGATGTTCCCGACTGGACGTAAAACCAGTCAAGTCTTTCAACAGTGCAGCTTAACGCAAAAGAACTGTCCACATGTGCCACAGTTTGCAATCTACAGTGAGCCACCGCAGGGAGTACATATATTAGTTGATTGGACGTTACCACCGCAGCCATTTTATAGTGTTTGCTTTCCGCTCTAACCGCAGTCACACAACAGCTTGACTGCCATGCCATCTTCGACGAGTCCCAGCACACAGAACACCAGACGTGCGATGATGGCGGACGCCATACATGACATCCTCACACAGAACTCCCAGTCAGCTTCTACTACCCCACAGGGACCGCACAGCAAGAGAACGGCATCACCACATATCGGCTCCCCGGAACGTTGCGGGAGGACAGCAGCCACTCTGAATCCTCCGACGACATTATCAGCATCAATAGCCCGCAGTTCAAGGAATACCTGGCGCAACGCTACTATTAATGACCTTTTGCAGCGTGTTGCAGCGTTAGAGTCTGAGCAGCAACGTTCTTCTCACCACACTCCATAAGGTGAGAACACAGCAGCCTACCGAGTACCATCCTCCTCGAGCCAGTTGGTGGATACAAAGCTCTTCGACTAGCGGAAAAACAGCGCTACATTAACTTTTGTCGATTCGGTAAGAGCTGTCGCCACTGTATCCGTACAAGATGCAGTCCGATTCCATTTGCTGCATGCTTCACATGACTGTGATGTTTCACATTTATGTACTCCGCAGCCATTTCTTTCATCTCACTGCAAACAACATGCCACACGCACCACCATCCCGCTCACCCACAGGACGCGAGTGGAGATGGCACTGGGATACAGACGACCAGGGCAACTGGTCAAAAACATGGTTCATTGCCACACCAGAGTGGCTAACCCGTATCAGTGCCCAAGACGCAGCTCGACGACAACCAGTTGCCGATGCCACTGCGACCAACAACCACCCTGACAAACCGACTAGCTCATCCCCTACGAAGCGGAAAAGATCCCGCACACCGTGAGTCCGTCGGTTTTCACCCAATTCACAAGCATGCCTTGCCAACGTTGTTGGCCACATTCATTGATAGCCCGCCAGCCGACTACATTCAGTTTGCTTGGTCTATACAGCAAAACAGCAGTCGTCCGTATCAGGCCCGGCACGCGCCTCAGTCATTTCACCAACACGCAGCACACTTGCTTTAGCTTATCTCTGCCGCAGCCTTTTCATGGATTTTAGCAAATTTTAGCATGCTAACAATCGCCATGCAGCCAACAACAAGAGTGACAGCTACCGAGGGCATATCAAGGACGACGAACGGCGCCACCAATCCATGAACCGCAGGTGTTGACCATCGATGAGCTGTTCCTGAGTAACAGAACCCTGCAAGATTTCGAAGCACTCCCAGAACATCATCCTGTTCGAGCTGCACATGATCAGCGCACCAAGGTGGGAAGCACCCAAGGCCTCCCAAAGCTTTTCTGTTATGGCCACGTGATCAGAATTCACAAGCCAAGACATTTTAACCGAATTCCGCTCAAGCAGATGCGCATGCAACAACAGCGCCTCTCATCTTCTGTTACTTTGAACATGTAGCAGACAGTGCGTTGACTGGATTAAGATAATCACATCTCCTCCAGCAAAACCCTTGCACAGCTCTCCCGCCGTCAAAACAGGCTTGATGACTGCTGCAATTTGTTTCCTTATCGCAGTTACCCAACAGATCATACCACCACATGCCCCGGCAGAAAACAATCACTGAGGTTTAGTTCGCACGCGCCCCAGACAAGGGGCTGTGTGTGTGTGCACTTCTCTCGAACATGAGATAAGGGGTTCACAACCCTTGCGCGTTTTCAAGCTGTTCAATGCAGTTAGCATCATGTCGGAATGCGCGATAAACATCGTGAAGAAATTTTGTTTTGCAGGGGGTCAGGAACCCACAGTCACCTGTCATGGCCAACGAAGACCAGGTGATGTGGGGGTGCAAACGTACCTGCAAACGCTGGGCCCCTGTGCCAGCAAGATTAGGGGGCCCCTGTGCAGCCTTGTGCCAAGATCAGAGTGTTTATGTTACCACAGTTGTCGATTGAACACGATTGAACAGGAACCCGTGTTTTTTTTGCTGTAG